AATTTGGCCGTATCTTCCAAAGCGTGAAATCATCATACACCCTACCTAAGCAGGTAACGCCGCTATCAGGGCTTAATCACATATCGTTCACCTCCGCAGCTGTACTGATGAGGCTCATGTCTGCGCGAGTTCAGCTCCCCAGGTGCGGACGGCATTCGCCCGAAGGTGTTGAAAGTTGATGCCATGAGTTTGGCAGGACCACTAGCAATTTTCTTTCAACGATGTATGAACGAGATGCAAGTCCCCACGATATGGAAGCACGGAATCATCACGCCAATCTAAAAAAGTGGCAGTCGTGCTGAACCAGCAAATTATCGCCCGAAAACAATACTTTCTGTGATCTCCAAGGTTATGGAGTCCACTGTATCTGAGGCTTTGATGTGGTAACTGGAGAAGAACAAAATTATCGTTCCGGAGAACACGGATTCCGCCAAAATCGCTCCTGTACCACTAATCTGTTGACTGCTCGTGCAAGCTGGACGGAATCTGTGGACGTTGGTGTAGGAGTCGACGCGGCCTACTTGGATTTCTCAAAGGCATTCGACCGTCTAGACCATCGCGTTCTCCTCCACCAAATCCAGAAATATGGAATCCGTGATCTGGTTCTGGGCTGGATAGGAGCCTTTCTCGTGCAACGTCACCTAAACGTGAGGGTTCGGAGCAACCTGTCGGAATGCGTCGAAGTTTAGTGCGGCATACCTCAAGGCTCGGTACTTGGACCTCGCTTGTTTTTGGTTTCCATAAATGTTCTCGCAAGCGTGCTACCTTCTAATTGCTTGCTATTTGCTGATGAGCTAAAGTTCTGGGGTACTATAGCTATAATGAAAGATCACACAGCGTTACATGAGGACCTGGTAAAACGTACATATGGTCCATCGAGAGCATGTTGCATTTCAACGTCACCAAGTGCAAAGTTATCAGCATACGGCACAAGAGTATGCACAAGTACGGCCTAGGACCACAAATTCTACAGCGGGCTTTTCAAGAGTGCGATCTCGGCGTGATAATTCAAGATGACCTCTGTTGTTTAAGGCAGACTGAAAAGGCAGGTAAGAAAGCAAACCAATACCTCGGCCATCTTCGCAAAACTTTCGGGAAGTTTGACCCTTTAGTCATTCCAAAAATGCACGCGGAATATGCTATTTAAGCGTCGCAACCCTGGGTCAAGCACCACCACAACGTGCTTGATACTTCACAACGTAGGGCAACGAAGGGCGTCAAAGGTATGACCAGCTTTCCCTACCCACTCAGGCTGACGACTCAAAATATACAGTGGACGCTATCGGCGTCTAAGAGGCGATCCCATTCATAATAGCGTACCTGATCCTGAGAAACCCCAAGCACCGATGCCATTCCCTTCTAATAATCAGACAAAACACCTCACTAAGAGGTCACCAGTTTAAGTTAGTCACGCAGTACAGCCGCCTACAATATCGGCAAAACTATTTCTTCCTTCGAGTGTCATAGCCTTGAAACGCCCGGAACATGTAATTAATGCACCCACGCTATCCCTTTTCAGAAAAAGCCTTGACGATACTCTGTCACATTTACACTACGTGCTATAGCCCATGACCACCTGATGCTGGCATTAATGCACAACAGACAGGGGATAGTGTCATAACCCTACTCGAGAATGAGTCACTCCAAACCCCTTGCACAAAATTTGATAAACGCTACTACTATAGAAACTGGATTTCGGTATCCCGTCGACCCGAGAAACCTGCACACGAGTAAGCGTTGTCCTTGCTATTTTTAATGCATTTTCTCGCCTATTATGTGATCAATAACCACTCTCCTGATTGCTTTGTGTGCGTACATTCTCATTTCAAACTCCTTTATACGGCAGTGCAGTTAAATCTGTAATCGCCCGAACCAACGACTTCATTATTCCTTGATCTATCTTTCCTTACTCGAAACACCCTAGGGGGCATGTAAAGCACCTGCTTTTTTACCCCTTATAAATCATTGTTCATAGTTCAAGGTTGAATCAAGGCGGAGATCATGAGAAGTAGGATGCAAGTAGCCTGTTTTTGCACCCGAAATATGTGAACTCACATTAGTGGCCATGCCCCCTCACTGCGGATGCAGCTACTACCAACGAAAGTGAATTGATCAATTACCTCGGGTTCCACGTTATCAAGGGTCAAGTGGACATTAATGGGCTGGTCGTCCAGTAACAACAGCTTGAAGGTGCAAGTAACACGTATAAAAATTTCATGGGAACTCTTTTCCCAACAAATATCTCGAACATAACCGATCGATCCAGTGTGTAGAACGCATGCATGAAGTTGAGAAAGAATGCTATTGTTGATCGGTGATATATGTAGCGTCGCTTGAGCATCTGCCGCAGTGTGTATGCGCGGTCCCTAGAACCCCGTCGTGGAGAGAACCCTGGCGGCTACTCCCTAATCCGGAACTCACGTTCCGCAGTAAGGCGACGAGCGAGAAAACATGCTAGCGATTTTGGACCCAACGGCGTAAGGCTAATAGCTCGAAAGTCATCATAATCAGTGAGATTGCTTCTGTAGCATGACTGAGATCACTGTACAGTGCAAAACGTAATTTCACAAAAAATTTATCGGAAGTATACCGGTATGCAGTAGACGTTTCATTGCCGCGAAACCAGCATTAGTCGCACCTTGGCTTAGGATTATGTGAGGGTTGCCCGGTACCCTACAAACGCTGGAATCCATGCCCACGGATCACAAGGCAAGCTAGTGATCCGTAAGGCTACGGGCCGATCATAGAACAGTTAGTTAACCTCAACAATCATGAGTCTGTGGCTGCAATACTAAACTGGCCATCGCAATCGACTGATAATTAGTGTTCCCAACCATACTCGCCAAACACAACAAATTCATGGAGTCATCATCATCAACAACAGCAGTACATCAGCCAGTTGAATTAATGCTCCGCTTCCGTACAATGACGGTGACCAAGGGAACGAAGAAAAATAACAGAGAGAGAAGGGAGACTTAATAGAAAAACTGAATTCCCTAAGCAAACACAAGAGGTAAAGGCGCCTACACCTTGTCAACAACATGACACCACATACAGCAGGCTATCGTGCAAACACAAGGCGGAATCAGCAAGACGGCTTACTTGTGGCAGATAACTCAGCACCAAACACACTTTAACAGGCAAGCAGACTAGGAAAGGATAGCAGACACGCCACTGGTGTCGACTGCGAGACATGTCCTGTAACATCTCCAGACAAGTACAAAGCGGGTCACCTGCACTCCAGCCTGGAAGGCCAGAAGGACCAACGGCACCAAGTTTGGTCGTCAGTGAGTTCATTTCCCGCTGCCAAGTTAATTTTTGTCAAAGTCGGGCCTTACACCACCCTACATGTGGCAGACTAAACAAGGCCCTCCTAGGTAAGCGGTGACCAGGCATACGCAGTATGTATCCAAAGCAACGCAACTTATTCCGTGCTATCTGTCGTTTTAAGGAACTGACCAATTGATTATTGCCTAACGCTCGCCTACGCACCTCATCATTGCGGACACACTAGCGCCCTCCGAAATCAGAAATGCCTCGCAGAAGACAATGACAAAAGACCCGAGGGCGCTGCAGATCCTCAGATCGGAGGGGCCAAGTCTCGTTTCCATACCGTAGGACAGCCGTTACTGTGGTCTCGTAAACAATGCCTCTCAGACGGACAGAAACGCTTTGCTGACGCTGCAGATTCAAGAAGACAGTACTAGCTTTTGTAATGTGTGAACTGACTTTAACAGCTGTGCGCCCGTTGTTGCTGATAAAGCTGCCCAAAAAAGCGAAATGATCAAGTAACTCGAGTCCCTCGCCATCAAGTGCCAAGGGACATAAAGTGGTTGGTAGTCCCGTAACAGCACTGTGTACTTTCAAGTTGCGAAGCGCATGACAAATAATGGAGCCAGTCTTCGGAGGTTATTCAGGGTTGATTAAGCCGTCTACGCATCGTGTAAAAGCAGGACAATATTATCCGCCTAATCAAGATTAACTACCCCTTCACCATGCAGCATCATAACGTCTGCACTGTAAGACGTTGCAAGGGAGCACTCCATGATGGAGTCGACGACAAAATTGAACGAAAATGGGGAAATTTGACAACCCAGACGAACACCATTGGTTGTCGGAAAGGCAATCGACAAATCACTACGGCCTGCCGTGTTTGAGTACATAGCACGTAACATGTTCACATATTTTACGGGAACACCTTCCCGGGCAATTACTTCGAACATCGATCGACAGAGTATAACTCACTCCTAAAGTAAAGAAACACAGCTATCGTCCACTCGCGATAAATGTGGCACAGAGTGAATAAGTGGTCTACGGTAAAGGCCGGAAAACAACGAGCTGTTCCTTAACCCGTGATACTCGCTCAGCAGTGAAACGGTGAAAGGGAATTTAGGGTAGTAAGTTTATCACCACCAGCGTTAGGGTAATACCCCTGTGATTGTCCATGATACGCGAAAAACATTAAGGAAAACCCATTGTTTTAGCAATTAAGCGACTAACTTCGATTATGCTTTGACTTCGAAGATTCCGGAATATTCCATTCTTTTACCTGACCGCTAACATACGGAGTTTTGGCAAGGAGACTGTTAAGTTTACCAGTTGACCTTCGTTTTCTATAAACCGGAAGCCATTGAGTTACCTATAAATTTGGCATAAGTCTGGCGCAATTGAATAGCGTTTTCACGGCGTTTTGGAGAGGTTTTAACTGCGTATTTGTTAACATGCTTTCTCGGTGGAGGCCGTTGAACTTCCGATTTTTCTTCTGCTGGGCTAGAAATCTTGCGGATAATTTTTGGTGTTTAATTTAGAATAGCGATAAAACTTGAAGATCTAACAGATACCACCAGTGTGATTACCACAGTTGGCGCGACTTTCCATCTGACTTATGGAGTAAGCGCCGAGGCAAAAGTAGTTGTCAATTACAAAAGATATTTGGTTCGAAATTGCACAAGTCCGATGCGTTGTAGGAAAAAATGATAGAAGGACGGCATAAAACTCACTAAAGTGAATAACTTCTACGTGTGACCGAAGGCGGCACTTTTGGGCAAACGATCTTCCACAGTGTTCGCATATGTGACGTCGCTGTCCTGGAACTGAAAACGGGACATTAGCGGTCACGTAAAATATGAAGGAATGAACTAGTTAGTGGCACAAAAACACGGTACCTTGACCAGTGATGATATCGAAAACTCAGTCAGATGTGCAAAAGGGTGTCCGCAGTAGTCGGTACACAGTACCGACGTTTTGCTGCCGCACAACCACTAACAGTCGCGTGTGAGCTAAGGCTATTGCGATGGTCACCCAAGCCCTAACGTGAGCTCAAAGCCGCGCTCTCGGACTAGAAGGCAGTCTTGTGACTCTAGGAAACTGATTGGTTATGAACGGGCTGTTATACAGCTTAAGGCTGCTCGTATGAAGTTTTAAACCTAGCTGTATCGCATTGTAGTAGCAAATGATAAATAGCGGAGGTCTACAGTATTGTACGCTACTAATCGCGTGTTAATTCCAGTAACTAAATTCTCAACGAACTCCTGGACTACTCATAGCGATGGATGGCTATCTCTCAGTTCGCCAAAATGTATCACAAACTTAAACACGTGCCTGACACTGGTCAACAGTAAGTGGCGAAAACTTTCCCATGGCGACGCTCAGCCACATATCCAAACTATGTGGAGGCTGAACGAGCTGGGCCACGAAACTTTGCTTCACTTACCATACTTCCATGACCTCTCGACCAACGATTATTACTATTATTAGTATTATTATTATTACTATCATTATGCACCTGAGCAATATACAATTGGCAGTGTCACAGCACATAGTTAACAACAACAACAACAACAACAAGGGAAAAACAAGCAGACAGTGGAAAGGTTTGGAAGGTTTATAGGGTTAATGTGTTGTGCGGTTGCCCAAGCAAAGATGGTTGACTTAAGGGTCCCAAATCCGAGCCTTTGGTCATAAAGAGCTGACCCGCAAAGCAGTGGACGATTAACGGAGACTATTGACAGCCGAGTAGCTCATTCGCCTTCTTTGTGTTCAGTAGCAGTCTACAGAGAAGCCGGTGGCCAACAAAGTTTTTCATCCGCCCTCCGTTGAATATTCACTTCCGGTTACAGAAGTGAGTGATCAGTGACCCTATAGTCGGTCACGTTGGTTTTAAAACAACGCCGAACGAGTTCTTGTGGTATTTGATGCAAAACCAGGTAACCAGCCCAGAACTCACCACGCTCTGAGACGCTGTCGCTGATCGTCCGGGACTGTTTCTTCATCTCGCCTGCGAGGCAAACGAGATTTATTTGCAGTTACCTCCACAAGGAAGGCATTCCCCGATCCGCAACCTGGGGACGCGCGCGATAGCGTACAGCTCCGCTCACCGAATAGTACTTTTTCAAACACCTGGATAACTTCCTCCAAGAGATGCTCTAACAACCAAGGTGTCGGAACCTCATTCGAAGTAAGGAATTTTATTTTGTCTCCAGTTGACAAAAGTGAACCAAATCGAAGTTTGGAGCCAAGATGGGTGAATTCATTTCTTAGGACAAAAAATGTAACAACTCTATTAATAATACATCATACTGAAGAATCCACGAGTACCGCATGAATGAGCCCGTGTAGCTCTCTTGAAAATAACGGAAGTAAGACCGTCAAACGGTACTTTGCGAGTATAAACGATTATTCTCAGTGATTCACCAAAAACACCAATCTGAGGCAAACACTAAGGAACATAGCCCTAAGTGATTGTTGAAGGGGGCACCGGAGTGCTAACAGGCGGTATTTTGTCTCATCGGTTCGAATCAGGTCACCAGGTAAACCACCCGAACGCATTTACTGTGATTTATCAAATTCCAATGAGCAAATCAAAAGGTACGCGGTTAATGATGCTCACCACTGCCGAAGCCATTGCGATCCGCATATTCCAACCTGCCCTGGCCGAACAGCCATCAGCCTAGCCTTCACCCTGACATCGGTTTAGGCATTGTGATTACGTAACCCTCAATCGGTCTGAGTGAAGGAGACAGGGGCAGACTATTCGCTGTCCAACCAATGACCGAGTCAGTTCAGAACAAACTCCCGAACCGATCACTATCTATCCCTATGTAGCTTAACCTTATAAATGATTACTTTTCCTTAGTTTCAGGCCAATAATAATCTAATCCCACATGGTACGGGGATGGTTGTCAATCCAAACACCCTTGAGATGTTATATAGATTCTGATGAGATCGCAAACACCACCTCCACCGTACTCCGGTGAATATTACCCGCTTCGGGGGAGCAATGGGTGCATAGATACTAGAATTATCACAAAACAGCGACAGAATTAGAATTGACTTTAGTGAATTTTGTTGACTGAAAGATGTGCGGATGTATAGCATGGGTTGCTGCGTCGGAATGGTTGGGCGAATTGCAACCGCAGACTTCAGCCCAACTCGTCAGGGGTTTGCACCCGTCCGGTGGAGTGTCAGTTATCACTTTTCGGACGTGTTCGAGGCAGTGAACAAATAAGTGATACGGTAGACGATGGCAAGGTCAACGTAGACGTTTACTGTCAGTGTGGACAACAGGGTGAGTAACAAGTAGAAATCGTTCGAAAAATCGACTACAGGGGTAGCGGTATCAATGACTGCGGAACAGATGAAGTGAAAAAGGGTATGAACACAACCCGAGGCGCAATGACCAATCTTCGCCACTTGTGGCACCATCACGACATCATACTTTTTATAAAAGGTCGAGTCTATAATGCAGTCGTCCGTGTAACACCACTATAGTGTTGGATGGCTTGGCCCAAGAAATGAATAGTTTTAAACAGGTTGGTTATGTTCGAACACCGGTACAAATGTAACTTAGCTCACCTCCGGTAGTAACACCATGTGGGCAATGATCGCGTATGTCGTACAGGAAGAGCGAGTGAACCGCTAAGCATCACCATTTCACAGACGAGGCTCCGATGGTTTGGCCTCGTGTTGCGTATGTCAGTAATCTGATTGCTGCGTCGTAAATTGCTTGCGTGACCGGAGTGTCGACGGAAAAAGAGGTGTGACCGACCGATGACTTGGTTTGGAGTAGCGAGGTCCCTCGTTACGAAGTTGTCTTAGGTTGAAGCCTCTTGACTCCCGGCTTTGGATCATAAAGTTGACGAAATGTTAAGCTATGCCTACCGCGCGCGACTCCGCGTATCGCAATCAGATTGTTCAGAAAACTCCTAGTCCAACAGAAAAATCAGAAACAGAGAACTGGAAAAGAATGCCTGTTTACCAATACAGTGCCCAAAGTACAACTTGAATCCTCAACATGTATTAATGACCCAGAAGTGACGCGTTGTGGCTAAGTCAGGTTTCGGCAAAGTTGTGTTTCGCTCATGCGCAATCTAGTAGACAGTCTCCGCTAGTTTGAAATCTGATCAAAAGACCTAACCTAGAGTGGGAACCTGGTTCCGCAGGAGAGGTGTCGATCAGCATCTTGAGATAACTGCTTCATCGTTAGATGAGAATCTGGGGTTGAACTGCAGTCTTCAAGGTCGTCTTCTGTGGCGATGGGACGACCGCCTGGTGTGGGATGGTTTCAGCAAGGCTTTAGCGCTCTTCATTCCCATTTCGTTTCGCAGTTGACCGTCACCGTCCGCAGCATCTTTCGATAGGTTAGAATAATACACCAGTATGTTAAAAAGAAGTCCATCGGGCATAACTGTTTCCGGCTGGCCCGAGGTTGGCCACAAATGGTTTGCATGGCGGATCCGCTTGTTATTGCCTACGGTCACTACGCAACGGACATGGTCACAGCTTTTCTTGACCAAGCCAGGTGTCCACATGACTGCGTGGTTTCGATAGTAATTTACCAACACTCTGTCCAACCTCAGATTGCCGCGGTATAATGTCATTTCCATTTTGAGCGGTTCTCCGAGCTGAGTGATTATTGTGCAGACGTTTCGTTGCCTGACTAGGCAACATCATCAGTGCGGCTTCAGGGGTCTGGTTCACAGTGTCTCGTAAGCGATTTCAATGTCCATTGGACATTGACATTGAAGGCGCTGTTCATAGTTTTTCTAAATGTGCACAGGCTGCGAAAGCCCCTATCAAAGTTGACCTTCGCCCTTGGCTGAAATCAACTGCTGCCGGTATGCGGATTCAGGTGGATTATGCAGGTCCACTGAACAACCAATATTTTCTGATTATTGTTGATTCATACTCAAAATGGCCAGAAATAGTTTGTGTCACTCAAGCAAAGCGAGAGCTTAAACAATCGCAGTTCGTCGTTATTTCGCACAGTTTGGGTCCCTAGAAACACTCGTCACTGATAATGGTCCACACTTCACATGGAACAAGTTCAACCGATTTTGTCAATCCATGGGTGTACAACATAAACGTAGTCGCATTTATCATCCCCAGTCGAATGGACAGGTTGAGAGATATGTGGATATTTTCAAACGGGCTCTGTTTAATCTTAGAGAAGAAGAGATATTGCTACAAATTTGGATGTGTTCTAACGCAAGTGTCGTTCAACACTGAATCCTGTTCTCACAAAGCGGCAACCACCGTCGGCACTTTTTATTGGTCGACGTTCACGTATACCGTTAGATGCCATCTTTCCAGCAAAGGGGACTAATGACAGTGACTAGAAAATGGCAGATCAGTTCAATCGTAAGCACGGTACTCGCATGAGATATTTTCATCCCGGTGACCTAGTCTTTGTGTACAATTACAGGGATACACATAAACGTTGGATTCCAGGAATTGTCAAAGCAAGAAAAGGAAATGTCCTGCATGAAGTGGAATGTCAAAACCGATTGACTACACGTCATCGTTATACACCCGAACAGGTTAAGCAAAATGACACCACAGAGATTCCCTTAAACATTCTTTTAGATACATTTGCTTTGCCTAAGCCAATGGAACCACAACCAGAGCAACGCGTTGGTGTGAGCACTGAAGTGGAACTTGAACGAAGACATTCCACACGTACACGCCCCCAATTCGGTGACTCAGTATCACTCCAAGCAAAAGATCTTATGTGCAACAATTTATTTTCTAACCGAGGAGGGTGTCAGAGAGATCACGTATGTCAGCCACACAGAGTGCACGTGAAATCGATCGA